GAATATTACGTTTTCTGGACATTGCACCATATTTCTGGATGTTATTACCTACCATAATTTATTTCATTGAATATACGAGGTCTGCAAATTAAGTGATAAGACTGATTTTGTTTTCAATTTTTTCGTTCAAAAATAATTACAATGTTATTTGTCACCCTCAAAATATTCCTTCAGAAGCCACACAGCGCTGGACACGGTTATTTGACTCCTCATGACAGTGCTGGAACTTCGGAGCGACAAAAAAGTCACAAGGACTCAAGTCAGGCTAGTAAGGAGGCTGAGTAGCCACAAGAATGTTTTACTGGCCAAAGCTCGTTTATTCACATTGCAGGGTGACGTGATGCAACATCCAGTTGTTCTTTATCTGTTAAACGGTGGTGTGAGTTAAATTTGACCTTCCCCGATTAGTCTTACTGTCAGCCGACGATCTAAACGTACAAGATTCCCGGATTCTATCAATAGTTTCATGGGCTCTTGACAAAACATCTCCATAGGCCTGTTTAGCAAGACTTTTTGTCTGAACCAAACGACTCGAGCGAGTTCAAACGTGTACCGAAGGTGGATCACATTTTCCTCTGTCTCTGCTCCAAGCAGGGCGCCTCCAGTTTTGCCAGATCGAACGCTACATTGCCAGTCTCATCGCTTGATTTACAGACCTCGTACTATCCAGTTATCTGTTTATCGAATATTTGATTACCCTAGCTTTCATTTGCATTCAATTAGCGTTGCCAGACGCCAGATACGCCATATTTCAAAGACTAATCAATTAGATGAGCCAATGATGAAAATAATGTATTATTAATATTGCAAGGTTCAGAAACATGGTACGACATCCAGAACAAACAAACTCTGTTTCTATGCACCGATTAGTATAAACCGTCATTTAATCTGACCAATCAAAAATTAAATTATTATCCATCGATGTTTAGCTTTTATCATTCCATGTAACAAACCCGTTCGATATGAACATATCACACATAGCTTATTCATGGAAAGCAACGTGATTATATGTACAGCAATGAGATTGGCTGCTTCCACAAGGGTGTCTTAATTTTTTTAGGCCTTAAAAGAGTCGAACTAGACTACGATGACACTGAAGAAAGTATAGTAATATACTTTTCTGTTGTGCGAGGAAGATTGTGTTTATAAAAATGTTTGTGGAAGTGGCCATTAATCCCATACAAATAACTGAATTTCAGTATTCAAAAAAAAAAAAGATTGATCAGCAGAAATTATGCGAAAAAATAATAAATAATATTCACAAAATCAAAACATTCTGGAGTGACTTCTAGAGTCCAGAGTTTTGATCTTTTTATTGCTACCCTAACGAATTTTAGGATCGTTTTAGACTAAGTTTATCTTAGTTATTTTTTAGCTTGACAGAAGATACTGGATTTCTGGCCAATGCCTTACATACCTTATTCTGAATAATCGTCATCGACTTTGATGATACATTTTCACTAGAAGAGATGAAATATTCATCGAATCTATCCATAATCTGCTGAATCTCTTGTCACCATGACTTGATAAAAACACATTGAGTACTGAAATTGTAGTCAAAGCTTTTTGTTGTTTAAACATTTCGATCTGGATTAAAATATTACGTAAAAGATGTAATCCATATAACGTTTATACTGATGTTCATGTGATACCATTCCAAAGCGAGAAGGATCAAAAATGTTATGGATTGCATCAAATTCTCCATAGTCGCCTTAATGCTTAGATAAAGAGGTAAAACGTTTTTATTCCCAATAAGAAACTCATTTATTAACAGATTTCTGGGAAATTACTTTTTGCAATTTTCATAAGAGTGTCCTGGAAGTTACGACTTTCCCTGGTGAACATAGTGACGTCAAAATGTCGGCATTTTTAGGGCACTACTGACGTACGCCGAGCAACAAAACTGACGTAGAAATGACGTCATTATGACGGTCTAATGTCATACTCAATTGACGTCATTATAGGGCGTCATCGTATGTCGTATAAAACCAAATACAAAGTCGCTTTGACGTCTATCGGTGCGCCATCAAATGTTTAGTTTCTCAACGGCATGTCAATACGCCCCAAAAAAACGCAGCTTCTTATAAAAAATTTCAAAATTATCATCTTAAGTTTGCAAATTTGTTTTTCGGTATTTTTTATCATTTTACTTCAGGCATTCAGTAAAACTATTTACTACCACTACGTCTTTAAGAGTACATCCAAATAACGTTTTACTGCTTTAACTAAGCGTTGAGGAAAGAGCAAATCCATCATATGCAACACATGTTTGATATCTTAACAATGTAACGAAATAATAGTGACATACAAGAGTTTTACCTGAAGATCTATTGTAATATTAACAAATAATTAACTGAAAATTAATTTTCTTCAGTTACAGCCAAAATCCGCAGTCTCTATGACTACCAACTACGGCTCATGCAGGGCGTTATGCCCCTCCATCTGGAGTTGACATAGCAAACACAATCAAATACTTCTCTCAAACGCTCCTCAGTAAGTATATTAAACAAAATCTCACCTACATAACTCATAACTTCTAAAGCCCAATCATTAAACATTTTTGGAGAGGTTGAAACTTGGTAGTTGGGGTTGGGCAAGGGTATATCTCAAATTTTTGGCGGTAGTATAGTTACAAGTTGCTGATTTCACGTGGTAACTGGGCCTCCAATTGCCAATTCCCTTAAAAATTGAATGATAAATATCTACGATACGCCTCTCCCTGTGGGTTGACTGGTGTCACAGTCTCCCCATCAGTTCTGTCACTGCCACACTGTCGAGTGAATTCAACGGTATTATCGGTAAGGCAGGAATAGTTGCAAATTGAATAATCGTATGGACATGTTTGACTGACTTGGTCCATTTAATTTTTCTGCATGTTCTTAGCTAACTTTCTTCCCAGAGGGTTTAACTTGTGACGAACATAATCTTCTAACTGATGACAGCAATGCCTGCAACTTACGCCATTTTTTCAGCTGTCCTCAAAGATGTCCCAAATTCCCCTTTCGAACTCCTCAAAGACCCGGAAATGGATTCCGTCCGTATGGGATTATTTCCTAGTCTGGACTACAAAGGACTCTACAACTCGCTTGTCCCTCTTATAGAAGTCGCTCCTTTAATTTCCTATGGGTTACACGGTAAGTGTGTTTCTTAAGGGTACGCGTCCATTGGTGCGTTTCGCATACATCGAAGAGTTCGATGCGGACCTGTGGACGTGAACCTTTATTCAATGAATTAGTTCTACCAATCATTCCATTTTTCAGCATTTGGTCAGTCATTCCTTCAGTGTCTGGGATGTCTTCTACCCTTCTTGGAACATGATTTGATTGATAACTTATCTTACTTAGCAGCATCTACCATATCAGTTTTACCTAGCTCCCTTCATCAAGACATAGTGAATTGTTTGTGTTTTTATATACTACCGTTCGCAATAAGTGAGTATACCTATTCTTAAAAATCTTTTGTTGATAGGATTTTGGAGACCGGTATACTTTCCGAAAAAAAAGCCTGTCCATATCAGTTATATACCATATAACTTTGCCTGGAAGATCGATGCCCGGGTTCCTAGGCTAACATATTTTCAGATAATCAACAAGATAATCAGCGACCACATATAGCCAGAATTATGTTGGTCTATTATTAAGACAATCAAGTCGATTGAACATGTCTGGGACATCAAGTACTCTGGGATGAGATATCTCAAGGAGAATACATTCGTAATTACCGTAGTTCTTTTTCCTACGTCACTTAGTATACAACGGATTACTGATTCACATATATTATTTGTAGCTAGGCATAGTGATAGCAGCCAAGACATATGTCATTCTGTGTCAGCTGTAATAATGATGGTCTTTCAATACTCAACAAATCCTGCTCATCACTGCCAGCTTTTGGAATGTCTGATGACACTAAAGAAACATATTCTCAAAGACGTCTTGTGTGTGATAGCGTATGGTACAACAACGGCTCGTTCCTCTGCCGCTAAGCTTCTGTTTTACTATTGGCCCACCTTCAACGCCAATCTCTTTGATAGAAAAAATCTTATTTGCAAATTTGCCGGTAAGTGAGATTTCCCTTGGCCACTTTTATCATGAAATTTTTTAACGGATAGCAGAATAACATTGTGCAGTTATTTTTGCACCGGATTATACAATGTGGCTCATCAGTTTGTTTTTCAGATCCAACCCCTTTCGTATGCCAACGTGATATGTGTCCGAATTCTGGCAATGCAGAGGCCGCCAAAGTCTGCTACGACCACTGTATATCCATCAACTTTGCCAGCGATACACCACCTCCATTATATCTTTGTATCGAATGCGCAAACGAAATTCATCGTGAACATCCTAACCAAGTGTTTTCTGATATTTTGCATCCTATGCAGCAGGTTTCGATGATATGTGAGAACAAGGTATTCGTATGATTGACATTATTTCAAAGACGATAGAGACGCACTTACATACTCTATACCCTATTCGTAGTCTAATTACGCCCCGGCAAAACAAAGATGCAGTGCTGTCGGCCGCCTAAGCGTTGCAATAACTACGAACCACGATACACAAACACTGAAGATAGGAGCTTCGTGACGTCACCCAGAGAGTTGTCGGCTCGTGGTTACCAGCGGCAGGATGGTCGTAACGTGGCCTATTTTTCCATAGTTTTGGGAATCTTCAGTACGTGGAAGTTAAAGCTTTAAAGTCGATGGCAACGATTCGCTATTGTCGTTCACTGTCAGTTGTCACTCGACACAGCGTTGCCAGATTAAACAAAAGAACGTTTTCAAGAACATTGAATAGTTAGAATCTGATACTACATGTATTTATGTTCTATTCAAAGGTTGTATCCAATGAGGTCATTTATTTATTTAATTCTTGAACATTTAAACTTTTACAAGGATATGAAACGTCATTATACGAGTATACACAAAAAATAAACAATTTCTACGAAATAAAAATAATAAACTAATACAATAATATGAAACTGTACTGGACTAGGACTTTGTTGAAATGCGGTTGACATTGAAACTAAAGGTCATTCACCCTAAGTCAAAGGTCAATGACTCTGAAGTCAAATGTCAAAGGTCAAAGGTATTAACACCATTGACCTTGAGGTTAAAGGCTCCCATAATTCAGATAAAATAGGTAAGAATGTTCATATCGTTTTCTTTTGCAGAACTGTCGGTCGAACGATAAATCAGCAATATCCATATGTTTTTCTACCGAGTGCGCTAGTTATAATGGGAACCACCCGATTAGGTATTGCGAACAATGCCATAACAACAGGCATAATAATAGGAGGGGTGGGGATCACATAGTTCATAAATGCATACCCCCCACTTGGTCCATGGAACCAGAAATGCAAACTTACATGGTCGGTGCAATTGTTAGGTGAGCTATCAGTATTAGGTGACATACTCCAAATAGAGACTGACTCGTGCTTTCTTTGCAATGCTGTAAATACATTTAACATTCAAATGTTAATATCTGTGCGTAACAGCCGGTCTGCGCCATCGAGCGGACTGAAGCTCGCTCAGCTACGCGCTGCCAGGGTATGTCCATACAATCGCTTTCCGAGACTATTCGATGTAACCTGTACGTGCGTGGGAAGTACGGAGTCGGTCTACTTGACGCGATCGCTCCAATACCTCTTTATATGACATTGCAGCCTATTGAAAGAAGCCAAAATATCACAGGGCGACCCTCGAGATGAAAAAAAGGATTCGGATACGAAAGACATAAAGGACAGCAAGGAATCGAAAGACAGAAGAAGCCCAGTGCCAACTTTAGACAATATTTCGATAGAAGAAAGGCAGCTGCTAGGACGATATGGAGTTTGGTTATTAGTTGGTAGATGTAGCCCTACGGAAAATGCACCGACACATGTATTGGGAAGACTTTTAGCGATGATTTTCCATTGGTTTTATATAACAGCATATTCGTATAACGGTAATGTACACATGGATATCATCTGGATCAATGCATAAGAAATGCATAACTTAGAGAAAACTTTAAGAACACTGTCTACAGGGTGTTCCTTAATGATATGCGAATATTTACGGGTGTGAATCTACATGAAAAATTAATGTTAGTTTGCTTCATAAACTATGGTCCAAAAATGTTTCCTTACAAAAACTCGGGGTGTTGAAGTTTTAGAAAAAAAAAATGGAAATTAATTAATATTTTCAGAACCGCTTCAGATATTTCACTGATATTTAGTACGTAGTGGAAGTTAATAAAGTTGCATATTTTTCCATGCAAAAATAATTTTTAGCTTTAACAGTGGCGCGCGTACGGTTATGGCTTCAATATTTCTTAAGAAAAAAAATTGTACGCCAATGGTTTTTTGCCAAATAAAAATTATTTTTGTATTTCCCGTTCAATTTAAAACAAATGATCTCTCCTGAATTATTTTCCTTCGATGCGTCATTTTTGAGTAAAAAAATAAAACCGACAATAGTCCGAGAAAATTAATGCAATAATTGAAGAATGCAATTTAGCAATAAATCCTAAAGGTTATAATGAATTGAATAAAGGTCCGTTTTTGGAGGATGAAGAACAGAAATAAATGTTGATTTTCATCGTAATATCAATTATTATTTATTTAACAATTACATATAGAGAATAAGTTATTTTGATATCCATGTCAAGCGTTGCAATATCCATATAAATGTATATATCAGGCCAAGATGAAGGGAGTCTGGAGAAGCTGAAAACTGAAATTGTATGCAACTGGTTACATGAAATAATCAACACACATTACAAATTATTTATATCATGTTTGTTACCTCACCCTGCAGAGTACGCCAGAGTTGGTGGACAGTGGTACGGTATACAATAATTGTTGTTCTTACTTCCTACGGACAAAAATGTTTGTCTGTCCATCCTTGGTCCGTCTATAACTTTTGGGCAGGGCTTTGTCAATGAAGAAAATGTTCGCGTTTTAGAGGATCCTAATCATTTTTTGAAAAATCTCTAACTGACCGTTTGCGATCGATTGCCGGTTCGATAAGAGTGATGAAAGATCGACGCGCTGTTGTCATGTGTGTTTTAAATATTTAATTTAATGAAACTTACTGACTACAAATTTTTATTGACATGGGTCATGAGAGCTTTTTGACTTGTTTGACGCCCCTATTAACCATTTCAATAATGTTTACACCCTGTATGAATACATGCAAGTGTAAGTGCAATTAGGGATGCTGGATGAATGGAACATTTTATCAACATATATTTTTAAGGGACACGCTTTCGTCGCGCATAACACACCTAAAGGATGGCTTACACCGATTATTTTGTCTGATTCCTTATGAGGTCATATCCCAAGAGATTTGGGACGCGATTATGCCGCATTGGATGGAAGCAATTGTGAACGATGTGCCAGAACGAGAACTGGGCGAATTAAGGGTAATTTTAAACAAAATCCTGGATACCGAGATGAGCCCTTTAGGATTCAATGCAAAGAAAATGTATCATTTTGTCGCGATCAGGTTCCAAAACACAAGCGCGAAAATACAGCAGCAAGCGCTGCACTGGTTGCAGGTAGGTTGATACGTTAAAAGTAGTGACCCTCCAAAGTTTCGTCTAACAGAGTCTATTTTGCAGACATTGACACTTTTGGAAATCGTTATCCCCCTACATTTATTGTTTTCCATATTTGGGGAAGGGGTGTCGTGTATGAAAGATGGAGGGGTAGTGCTAATGAGGAATCAGGAGAAACGAAAACTGCATTCACAGACCTAGAGGTATTCAACGCAACTGGGCAAGAGCAAAAGAGAGGATCGATATGTGAGTTTTTTTATGCTGATGGCCGATTTTGAACTGCCTAAGATTAGTAGAACTTACTTCAATGGTCTTGTAAATACATTTATACTCAACTGACACAATAATGTTTACAAGTCAAATAAGCTATGTATTATCACAAAACTTAGCCTTTTCCACAAAAACGCTCAAATAATGTACCACTTGGAGGTACACAGGAAGCATAGTGAAACTCACGGGCAAAATGGATGCCGGCAAACGGGTCGGCTCAGGTCGGCTTTCCATTATCCCATTGAAATATTTAATGAATATTTTCTAAATAATGGAGTTTTAATATTGTCCATTGATTGAAAAGTAAATATTTGTTTAAGATAACAAATATTTAAGTAAGATAAAAACATTATTAATATTGAAGATATTCGGATGTTGTTTGTATATATGAATAAATATTATTATTCTAGACGAAGAAAAGACTGTAGCCCAAGTAACGTACGAAACCGACGCAGAACATAACTTATTCTGCTGCATACTGATGCTGGATATTCTGTTGAAACAAATGGAGCTGCAGCAGATAGACAAACATACAGGAATAGGTTCGTCTCTGTGCAAAGACGTATGTTGCTTGTTGAAATGTATGATCACAACAGCATACATAGGAAATCATTCTTGCACATCCAAATCAGAATGTCCCAGCTGTGAATCGAGCATAATGTGGCACCAATTGGCCTTGCAACTGATCAAATTTCTATTACCAGTACATCCAGCTCATCCACCAGACGTAAGTATTCACCTCAAAAAATTATTATATTTCAAGCACAAGGATTCCGGACTATCTTCACTCTCAGTCGTTTCTTGTGGAGAGTGCTCGAAATAAGTTAGCACAAAGTGCCATCTGTTACCAGAATCGACCAAAAACTGCACTAAGAAAACCTGGTGTTTCTAGAAAATTTTCATTACCTGAATGATGTTTTAATTACTCTAAGTAACTAAATTATTTGGTTTAATTAAATTGAATTTTTTGTTTAATTACTCGAGGTAATTTAGTGTCTGTAGAAAAGACAATCAAACATTTTAATAAAAACAGTTAAAATGTTTATTTGAATCGCGGGCTCGACACGTCACCGCCCCTCGTTCGTGCCAAATCTGAACAAAATAATTTATTAAAACTAGGGAAATACTTTTAATTTAACATAATAAATATAATTAAATGTTTAACCTGGAGCACGTAAGCTCATTTTACTAGTTCAATAATTTTAAATTAATTGGTGTATTCAATCTAAGTAAGCGGTTTAATAAATTTAATTAAACGGTTACATTTTGATTTAATTAAACTGGTTTCACAGATTTAAGTGAATTGTTCTAGAAAAATGCAGCTTAGCTGTCACATAGTTGATTCTATTTTATGGATAGGACCCGTGATTTATGTATTTCCTTTGTTATACATGTTCGAGGCCAAATTTTTTATATTAATTTTTTTGTTGTAGCCACTCCTGGATGACAACAGCGATGACACCTACAGCAGGAAAAGTCCACCAGAAACGGAAAAGAAAGACACGAAGGACGTTATCCTAAACATGCCCATTCCGGAAGTCCATTCAGTAGGAGGAGTTCTTGTTCATATGCCACACGTGTGCTCTGTACGGAAATATTTGTTTTGAAGATGAATTCGCTTTGAGTACACGTGGGATCTTTCCTAGAACGATATTTATATCTCTATTTGGCAGAATGGTTAAGCAATTCAAGTACTGTTTTATAATGCGTTTGAAAATTGGCAAAGCTACATTGCTGGTAGTAATATCATATTACAAATTTTCATTCAGGGGAAATGATCAAATTTTTTCGAGTACTGTAGATTCAAGTCATTTAGTGGGAGGTACTGAGTCAGTCTACTTGACTGCATTTTCTTGCAAGTGCAATTTGAAAATCACACATTCTTACGCCTTTTTGAGTTTGTAATATTTGCAAAAACACAATCCGTAGAAAAGTTTCGATTCCACTTGAGTTTTTTATAGAGTCAATCCTATCTGACTGTACGTCGTAATTTTTATTATTGTGTTTCATTTTTTTTGGGAAAAATTGTCACGGTTTTCGGCTTCAGAAAGTATGATACGCCTACCAGCAATATTAAGTGTGAAAAGTGCTCAAGCATTCATTTTTAAAAACGGCATTCCAAAATAAATGTGAACAAAGCTAACCAAACACAACGCACAAACAGACCACCAACAGTGCACAAAATTAAAATAACTACCTAACTAAAGCCTCAGTGTAACTAGATGTTTTTTTAAGTAGGCTAAGTAGATTTCTGTCACATTTCTAGACATTTAAACACTAAATTCAGTATCGCTGGGTACGTGAAAATTGGTAACAAGGTGTCATATGACGACTACAAACGTAAGTTCAAAATTTCAACTATTAAACTGCACTTAATGGCAAGTCCCAAATTTAAGTATATACAAAATATGTGAACTATGTTATTCTCATATGGCACCTTTCTAAAATTCTACGTAGTACAATTGATTGGCAGGTAGATGATACAAAATATTTTCAAACCAACAAATAACATACCTTAGGGTTAATAGTAAGGCAGTTACTGCAACTCAATTTCTAATAAATAGATAAAATATACTAGGATATTTCCCACCCCTAAAGTAGTCCAGTGGCGGCTAGTGAATTAACTTGGTAGAAACTCCCAATGACTGGCACTGACCTGACAAAGGTGTCATAGGCTACCCAAAAGTGAGTATTCTTTCAATTGCTGCAAAAAAACTTTAGGTGTAGAGGCTACAATGGTTGCTGCCTCATTATCAATTCGATCGACGCATAAAAATCTTACTGTAAAATGCATATATTAGGGAAATAATATTCGTAACTTTAAGAGGTGATTCCTTGCATTATTCTAAGCAAAAAATTTCATTATAACTTATGTCCGAAAATCAATCGTTTTCGAGGAAAGCGAGTCGTAAATAATTAAATTTTCGCAAACATCTGGCAACGCTGCAACGCAACGATTCATCGAATTGTTCACGTTTGTATCGCGATCGTTCTGTCTTGCAGGCGGAGTACGACGTTGCCAGATGTGTAAGGGATTTTGTTTGTCTGGTTTTCTCCGGAAAATTATATTTAATAACACAATTAACAGTTAATTAAGAAATAGATGTATTGATACATTTTACGCTATTAGGCATATAAAAGCAGGGAAATATCAAAAAACGCGGAGCCATGTGAGCTACCTTTGTCAGTGTCATTTCCCTAAAGTTACACCTTTATTGGCATCACTAGCCTTCAGCCCAGCCTGATTCAACTTTGAAGCACGTCTCTGTCACTGTTGTAAGCATGTCTGTTGCAAGTTGACATTTATGAACTTCTGAGTGTGAGTAGACGTAGACGTAGATAAGGAAATTGTGACATTACTAAGGCACAACCTATTTTACTGTATCATTACATGTTCACAGAGCAAGCTTACACATTCCTTAAGCCATGAGCCGCCACTGTAACGTAACAGTAAGATTAAGTAGAATCTCAAGTGACTTATGCTGTTTATCCAAGATATTTGCGGCGAATCGGAAAGTAAACGGAGTGTGTAATGAAGTACCTGGCCAAACTAACTTACGAGGATCATTTTACTTCCCGCACCTATCAGACGAGGAAATATTGTGATCTCGAAAATGGGATATGCTTTTTTCATATTATATGACTGCATCGCAGGCGTTCTCAGCGTGTTTGTTCGGCCAGATAAAACTCATTATACTCTTTATGAG